AGATAAAAAAGCTTCTTATCTTTTCAGCGGTATTGTAGGGATGGTCCGTGTCCTCTCTCTGCTTTTTGTGTGGTCTGGGATCAGTAGGCACTTGGAGTACAGAGGGCTGCTTTGGGCTGAGATTGCTTGAGCAGTCAGCAGCAGAGACAAAACGGGCTGAACTGCTGAAAGAACAAAATCCCTTTCTGGCTCCGGCTGTGAGTGCACAGCCATCTGCTTCTTTAAGGGCAGTCATCAAAACCTTTGGATTTACTGAGTCTCCACTTGGCATCTGAGCTGCTATCTTAGGGACCCACCTTAAGACTTACAATAATTAGTTAATTAGATACTATTTCTTGCTGTGGTGTTATAGTTTGGATATTTTAAAATGTTCTTTTTCTTTTTTTTTCCTTTTTTTTTCCTTTTTTTTTTGCCTCTTTTTTTTGCAACTTTGTTTTTTGCCTTTTTTTTTTTTTTTTTTTTGCTGTGCTGAATTAAAATATTTCATCTACTGTTTCTCCAGCATCGTTAATCATTCTTGTATTTCTTAGTGGTGTATTTCTTCTAAATCAAAACTATGATGAAGAGCTGACAGCAAGTGCCAACATGTTTACGTTAGATAGACGTCTATAGGCATGAAATATATATTCTAACAATAAATATGCTTTACTACTTGGTAGCATAAGATGGAAGCTAAACGAGGATAAGTTGAAACCTCAGGTGGAGCTGACTCATAATGTGGTAGAGCACGTTTTCCCTTCTTCTTTAAGATTTAGTACAAACTAAGGAGCAAGATGGATCTTAGAGATGATTACTTTTTTTTGTAAGACCCTTATCCAACAAGTACTTGTGAATTTTCCTGCTAGTATCTTCATATTAATAGGAGTACTTTCAGCAATTAATTGGAAATTTGTTTATTTTTGAATCTGACTCAGTTGGAAATGTAATGAAAACTGTAAATTTTCATGATGATCTCAAGTTCTGTTATTGCAGAACGCTCTGTAGGCTTACCACAGTGTATGTTTTAGGGGCTTGGGGAAATGCAGGGAGTGTTTAGAACATGATAGCATTTTCTAAGTAAACTTCCAAAATACAAATTCATTAATTTAATGATGTAATAATATTCTTTGTGATATAGAGATATTCTTCTTACAGATGAAAAGCTGGACATGAGCCAGCAGTGTGCGCTTGCAGCCCAACTGTGTTCTGGGCTGCATTAAACAAGGGGTGGCCAGCAGACAGAGGGAGGTGATTGTCCCCCTCTACTCGGCTCTTGTGAGGCCCCATGTGCAGTACTGTGTCCAGGCCTGGAGCCCCTGTTCAGGAAGGATGTGGAGCTGTTGGAGCGGGTCCAGAGGAGGGCACTGAGATGATCAGAGGGCTGGAGCACCTCTCCTGTGAGGAAAGGTTGAGGGAACTGGACTTGTTTAGCTTGGAGAAGAGAAGGCTCTGGGGAGAAGACCTCATTGTGGCCTTCCAGTATTTGAAGGGAGCCTATAAACAGGAGCGGGTATGGCTGTTTACGAGGGTGGACAGTGATAGGACATGGGGGGATGGTTTTAAACTGAGACAGGGCAGGTTGAGGTTAGATATTAGGAGAAAGGTTTTCACTCAGAGGGTGGTGACACACTGGAACAGGTTGCCCAAGGAGGCTGTGGATGCCCTTGAAGGCATTCAAGGCCAGGCTGGATGTGGCTCTGGGCAGCCTGGTCTGGTGGTTGGTGACCCTGCATATAGCAGGGGGGTTGAAACTAGATGATCGCTGTGGTCCTTTTCAACTGATATATGTTGTTTTTATGGTTCAGTGTATTTTTTTATTTTTTAACTTGATCATTCTGATTAAAACACTAATGCAACATAGGAGCAGTTTGTTATAACAAGATCCAAAACTCATATTTATATACATCATGTTTATATGTGATGGAAAAGCTGGATTTGTCATAGTCCTAAAGCTTGACCACTTCATGGTCCGTGCATTCAGGCTTTTCAAGGTCTAGAAAAACTGCTAACTGATCATAAATGGGAAACTTTTCCAGATGAGCCCTTCAATTTTTACAGTAACTTAAGGCAAGTTTATCTTCTGGTATCTACAGTTTCAGAAACCTCCAAATCTGGAAACTAGTTTAGCAAGAGCTCCAATATTTCATCAACGTCATGTACTTTACCAAGTTTCTAAAGATTGAATGCTTGGCAGATCTTTGTAAGTTGTCATTGAGTCCTTTTCATTATCAGAGTTTGTTTGGGAACTGAGCTCTATTCTGCTGACATTTGGCACAAAAATGAGTTACAGGGTTATTTTTCTCCTTAGTTACAACAGAACAGGTTGAGGTTGTGCTGTAATGGTTATACTGTGGTTTGGGGAAATTACTCTGAAAATCCTTATGGTCTGACACAGGATTTGAGAGCTGCTTCATGAGTGCTTCTTTGTACTTCAGTGAGTACTTCCAGTCTCCTAACTCACCCAGTGATCCTGACCCACTGAGCAGTAGGCATAATTGGTAAAGAATATGTCTGGAATGATGGAAGATATCTCCTGAGATGGCTAAGAAAATGATGCACATAAAGGTGATTATGAATCTCCTGTAATGTACTTGCATTTAATAGGCAGGCACTACTCCTTATGGATTCAAATTATTAGCACTAAATATGAGATTACATTACACCACGTGAAATCTGATTGCTTTATTATCAAGAGACTTATCACCTTTTACAAACTATATTTGAACTGATTTTGTTCCTCAAATGTTAGCCAGTCACAACATATTAAACTTTTCTGATGAGATGTGCTGTGCTGCAGGTAAGGGAAGCTCTCCTTGGTTATTGATGGCGTGATAGATTGTCTGCTCAGTGTCATGGCCTTGCTCTTCAGCGCTAGAAACTAGGTAAATAAACTTCTCATTGGTAAGGAATTCTGTAAAGCTTAGTCAGATCTGGATATAATTTTATAGTGGTTTCAGGTGGTGGAATTTGAGAATGATGCTATCAGTTAACAGTTATCGGTTATTTGAGAGCAGTGCTATCAACTATCAGTTAATAATGCTATCAGTTAGTTGTCAGGTAATATCAGGTTCTGGTGCTTATTTGTGGTAAAAGTATTGCTGTCACCATTTCAAGGACTCGGGTGAAATCCTATCAGAAGTACAATGGACTACTATTTAAAACTGGGACATTCAGAAACCACAGGATCTTAGAGCTGCAAGCACAGGAGATGAGTAAAGCTTTTCTTTGGAAGTTGTGCAGTGTTCTTAAAAACTGAATATTGTTGCATTAGCTCTGTGCGCCAGTGAGAATGGAGTTGGTTTAAATATTATTTTTCCACTATGTTTTACATTCCAAATTGTAAATTGTTTTTTCTGTGTGTTAAGCTGAACTACCAGTCTGCAGCAAATCACTAAGAGTGGTAAACAGGAAAGCAAAATCCAGGTTTAAAAGCAAATACTAATGCTGTACATTACATATGTACATACACAGAGAGCACGTGTAAAATAAATGTGGTGGAAGGCCGTAGACAGGAGGCTGTAGGCATGAATTTATTTCCTTTGCTGTAAAACGAACATGAGTACTTGATAACTTTACCGTGAATGTTAATGTTCTTGGTTGTTTATGTGTTGTATTGTTCTACCTTTCCTAAAGCATTTTATGCCTTATTAAACCCAGTCACATCATATTTAAATAAATAAGGGAAACTTGAAGCTGATCTGCCTCTCACTGACACCTGACATTTCAGCAGTCTGTTTTTATTATACTGGCATTAGTGGCTGCAACTGAGTTTTGGAACCTTACCTTTTTCATTGAAGTGATCTACTTTTCACTGTTACTGAAGTAATCCTTTCCAAAACTGCTTTTTAGCTACAAAACAGGAAAATTTCATGAAGAATATCAGCTGTGTGAATGCAACGAAGTCCTGTAGTAATTCTCTTTTTCTTGTGATACCTATGTACATAAAGATACATAAAGAATTGTCTTAAAAAGACAATAATGCAGTATGCAGTAATCGCAGTAATGTTCTTAACAGGTCTTTGTGTGACACAGTCAATTGTACCTTGCTGAGGAGATGTATGTGTGTGTGTGTGTGTGCGTATGTAAATCTCTTAGCATTAAAAAGCAAGAATAGTGAAACGGTTATTTTTAATGCTGTATTATAGTACGCTGTCATCTCATGCTAGGTGCATAATATTGTCTGCAGTACTTTACTGATTAAGTCCCAATCCTGCTAATATTTACAGAAGTACTTATTTTATACACATAATTTTGTGGCATTTGATATCACTGCTTAAATGGGTGAAGCTTAAGCTATGATCAAGGCTTTCAAACCTAAATCCTGTGCTGTCAGTGATTTCAAATGCAATCCTTTCATAGAATCATAGAATCACAAGGTTGGAAACGACCTATAAGATCATCCAGTCCAACTGTCTCCCTGTCACCATTGCCACCACAAGCACTAAACCACATCACGCAGCACGTCGTCCAGATGCCTCTTGAACACTGCCAGGGATGGCAACTCCACCACTTCCCTGGGCAGCCATTCCAGTGCCTGACCACTCTCTGAGAGAAAAAGTTCTTCCTTATGCCTAATCTAAACCTCCTCTGATGCAACTTGCGGCCGTTACCCCGTGTCCTGCTCGTTGCCTGGGAGAAGAGGCCAGATCCCTCTTCACCACAGCCTCCCTTCAGGAGCTTTTACAGTGCAATGAGGACTCCCCTGAGCCTCCTCTTCTCCAGACTGAGCAATCCCAGCTCCCTCAGCCACTCCTCATAAGACTTGTGCTCCAGACCCCTCACCACTTTCTCTCTGAAGAGTGATCCCTGCTTACCACCAGTGTCTTCCCAAACCACCAAATTGACCTTTCATTTGTCTTTAGAGTACTCAATGTTTAATGTATATGTAAATATGTGAGTATTCATTACATATAATAATTCTCATTCCATGTTATGCTTGATCAATACAAGGAAAACACATTAAAACTGTGTATAGGAAGAACTTTTTATGCAATACCTAAATCTGTCTATTTTCTTTCTAGCCATCCAACGGGATCTTCATGAGTGCATTTCTCATTGTTTTGCCTCTGGAGTCCATGGCTCATGGGCTGTTCCATGAGTTGGGGAACTGTCTGGGAGGAACGTGTGTGGGGTATGCTGTTGTGGTTCCCACCAACTTCTGCAGGTACAGTTACCATAAGTGAACTGTTAGCAAATAGAGGCAGTCCAGTGCCGTTACTTAGGTACTTTTGTATTGCTTCAAAAAGAGTGAGTAACTAATTCCACTGGGTATCTTGAAGGGCCAAATCTCTTGCTGTTATGATTAATGAATAGCTTGCATTTTGGAATAATGAGGCTCTTCCATTACTATTCAGGAACATATGTCCACATACTTGAATACACTTGGCTTGTTCCAGCTACAGTTCATCATTTTCTTAGAACTTTTGTTTTCTAAACTGTGAACACCATTATCTGAAAGTTACTTCTTATGCTGAAAGATGAGCACACACGACCAGCACATGCAAGTGGGTTATTGTATCTGCATAAGGGAGTACCATATTGCATAAGGACTATTTTGGAACAGAAATACATGAATTCAAAATATCAGAGTAAATTGTGACTTGCGTTTCTTCTACTCTGTTGTTGAAAATTAGTTTGCTTGATATTTTTTGTGCAAACTAGTATTCCTTCTTCCTGCACCCAAATATCTGTAAAGAAGTGCCTGTCTGGTGGCAGTGCTCTCTCAGTGGACTTGATGAAATAGGGGAGCCTTGCATGTTCAGATCACTGCTTGTCTTTAAGCAGCAAGTTCAGAGTGCAGGCAAGAGCGAATCTGAGTCCAGAGACACTATTTCTCCCTGCATGGAAAAAGCTGCGTGGGGCTGAGTAAAGGTTCACACTTTGAAGTGGAGAAAGTGTGACAACAGGGAGGGGAAGTTAGTGGCTCCTCACTGAAATACAATGTTTGGCATTGTTTGTAAACTGTTTTTCAAGTTAATTTGAATTTACAGTAGTAGTGCTTCATAGCAGAGAAAATATGTCACAGGAAGAAATTTTCAATTGCTAAAAGTCTGCTGAACCTGAGGTAATTATTGATCAGAACTGGTTCTCTTCTCTTTAGTCCTGACGGCCAGCCAACTCTTCTTCCACCTGATCATGTGCAAGAATTAAACCTGAGATCTACAGGCATGCTTAATGCCATCCAAAGATTTTTTGCATATCACATGATTGAGACATATGGTTGTGACTACTCCACAAGTGGACTGTCCTTTGATACCCTTCACTCCAAGATCAAGTCTTTTCTTGAACTTCGGACCGCAGATGGACCCAGACATGATACATATATTTTATATTACAGTGGTCACTCACATGGCTCTGGGGAATGGGCACTGGCAGGTAACTTTTGTATGTTCCTTGTTGATAATTTTGGCATTGATAAATCGTGATATATTGCAAAACTTCAAAGTCACAATATCTCATAGTCCAGAATGGCAAAGAACCACATCTTTGGAGTATAAGTTCATGTGAGCTCCGAGCAGGGAAGGAATCGCAAACAGAATAAATCACACAGAATGACCTGGGTTGGAATGGACCAAGGATCATGAATCTCCAACCCCCCCACATGCAGAGCCACCAACATCCATATCTAATACTAGACCAGGCTGCCCAGGGCCCCATCCAACTTGGCCTAGAACACCTCCAGGGATGGGGCATCTACAACTTCTCTGGGCAGCCTGTTCCAGCACCTCACCACTCTCATAGTAAAGAACTTCCCCCTGACATCCAACCTAAATCTTCCCTCCATCTACTTCAAACCATCTCCTCTTGTCTATTTCAAAGAGTTGATTCCTCTCCTCTTTGTAGGCTCCCTTTAGTTACTGAAAGGCTGCAATGAGGTCACCACACAGCCTTCTTTTCTCCAGGCTGAACAAGCCCAGCTCCCTCAGCCTGTCTTTGTAGCGGAGGTGCTCCAGTCCCCTGGTCATCTTTGTGACTCTTCTCTGGACACTCTCCAACAGTTCTCTGTCTTTCTTGTGTTGGGGGCTCCAGACCTGGACACGGTACTCCAGATGGGGCTTCACAAGGGCAGAGAAGAGAGGGACAATGACCCTCCTGTCCCACCCCTCTTCTGATGGAAGGAAGAAAGGAATTGGTAATATATAGAGTATGACTGTTAAGAAATTCAGGGCTTACAGGGAATCATCAAAATAGGCAAGGTTGCAGGCTGACTGCTTCTGCTAGTGCAGAGAATAGAGAAATGGAGAAGCCTCTTTTCTTTGCAGCTAACTAAAGAAGCAGCCCTTTCCTTCCCTTCCTCTGTATGACGAGTATGAACTGCATGAACTTCTGTCCTTTGTAGTGTTTAGTCAATTTGATAAAAATCCTTTTGCAGCTAACTTTTCTTACGATCGTTGACCCCAAATGTATGCTTACAAGTTTAAACAGTTTCTTATTCCATTTACAATTTGAAAAGTAACCTTTAAAGATTACTTCTTTTTGTTCCAGCAAATTAATGTGGAAAAGACAGCCTCCTGTTCTAAATACAGATTTCCCTTGTACTTCGATGAGTATTTGCTCACTGTATCGAACAGACATAATCTGTTCTCATTTCCTGGACATGGCAGAGCCAGCACATTTACAAGTGAATCATACAGGGTCCTGTATCACTGTGACAGCTAGGCTGTCATGAAGGACTGCATGTGTGTCCTTAAGACCTATTCTGTGTTTTATAAAAATTAAAATTAATGAAAGCTTATACAACTACACTAGAAAAGCAGCCCTTCAAACACTAAGGAAACCTTGTATTGTGAAAAAAACCCGAGGTTTGCTGACATCCTAGAGTTGGGAGTCATTCTAGGTACAGTGTAGCCTCAAGATTGCAAACCATTTTCCCCCCTTTTGTCCCTTTTTTGATCGCCTTGTTTTTTGCAGTTATACATCAGCTGTATAAGAACGATTGTTTAGTAAACTTGTGAAGTTTTCACATTGGTGATAGGCTTAGCCTTGTTCCCTTGCTGTATGAAACTGGCCTTCTGATAATTCTGTGTGCAAAATACGAATCTTGTAATGATAACTCTGAAACTTGTTTTCTTCCTGGGTCAGAGTTAGTTTTCATGGATAGCACTGTGCCTCTGAGCTGCTGGCTGCTCATCAGCAATCTGCCACGACATGGTCTCTTGAGCAGAGTAGACAGATTTGAGCTTGGCATGCAGGCATGGTAAGCTGTTCAGACACAGGTCAGTCTTCTTCTGGAGGCCAAACACCTGTTTTGGTGCAATTCCATGCCTGAACTATTATTACACCTGCTGATGAGCAGTGTGTATTTTTTTCCTCAAAGGCTTCATCTGTATCAGTAAGTTTAAAAAGCAAACAAACAACAACAAGCTGCAGCAATAGTCACCAAGCATGAGTGATGTAACATGGTATATACCAGCATGGCAGAATTACTTCTCTTACAATAAGGTGGCTGCGTTCAGGAGAGCAGCTGCCACCTCATACAGTTGCCAAGTCTGTCCACGCACCGTGTGGAGCCTCAAACTGCTCAGTTCTATCTACTGCCAGTGCTCCAGCCAGCAGCACAGATACCATTAGTTTACTAGGGTATGTATGACCAAACATTGATGCAGAAATTTAACAGCATCCAGATCATTACTTACATTTGGCCAGCTTGGAGTGTGGCAGAGGAGCCTAGGCTCTCTGTGCACCTGCTTAGGTAGCTGTAGCCAGTATTAAGCTCTGTCTTTACTTTTGGAGTAAGGGACAAGGTAACATTTGCAATAAAGTTTACTGCAATGTGTAAATGCAGTGATTTTTAGCCATCTTAACCAGTTCCTTTTCAGTTCTCTTTCCAATCACCAATCTTCAATTTCGATTTGGAGATAATGTGTAGTCATATAAAGAAAGGGAACAGACAGTTACCACTTGCCTTGAATACACTTTGGGATTAGTTTCCCATTGCGAGAGTTAGATAAATTATGGGTGCAACTTGATAGTCCTTCCAGTCAGCACTGCTGTTGTGAGTAGCCTGAAGTATAGACTGAGAAGATGAAGGGTATTTGATTATGCAGTGGCACAGCACGTACTCTGTAGTGGGCAGCGGCGTTTTGTGACAGATGGAACGTTTGGTCATTAGCTCCTGTAATGTGTACCATCCTCTGACCTCTGGAGAGGAGTAAAGAGATGGCAACAAGGAAATACATCATTTGCATCTAATAGAAAAAGCAGTGTCTTTCTCTTGATTTATGCAGTGAGACTGCACAGCAGTAGCAGTGTAGTCTGTGCTTTGTAATGACATCTTTTAAAGAAGCCTTTCTGGATTTATTAGTTCAGTAATGATGTTTCTCTGTAGTTGGAAGGTGGGTTGTAGCACAGTGGTGTATAAAAGAAACTGTTAACTAGTCATGCATAAAGCATGAGCAGTCAAACGACATGGGAGGTCGTGTTCTTCCCAGTAAATGCAAGGCGAGAGCTGGGCTAATCAAACTTTGTTGCTGAAACTGTCAGCCCAGCTGCTTGTGAAACCTGCCTGAGCCAGATGTGGCCAGATGCATAGATTTCTCACACAGCTTGGTGCCTGAAACTTGCTCTGGCCATCAGTCTGCGTGGTTGAGGTTAGTAGGGCTGGAAGTGGAGGGGGTGTTTGTGGATGAAGGATGAGGTGGTTTTCTTTGGACAGTTGTTAACAACTACATTGTTTTTAAATCACCTCTATCCCTGCTTAGTTACACTGAAATAAAGTTTACTTATAAGCCTTTCAAATGTTAACAAATAAATTTTTACTGATAACTGACAGAGGGGGCTTACCTAGGGGGGAAAAAAAAAAAAAGGAAACTGGCTTCTACACAAGTCTCTGTTGTAATTACATAAAATACAGCCATCTGGGGATCATGTACCAAGATTAAATCGCTATTATAGACTCTTAAGGTTTTCTTTGGTACTATTTTTTCCCAAGTCTGCATTCGTTTTAGAGAAAGTTGTAGCCCTATAATTTTGGTTTTACTTTAACTGCAGTGTTGTGCTCAAAACTTGAACTCCAGGCTATTAACTTGAATTACTTCTTTTGTCAACCTTTACAGACAAGTATGAGTGCTGAAATATGCAGGTATGGTGTTTGAGCTTCATCTGTGCAATTCAGTTCCTATTAACAAGATTTTAAAGTTTGCTAAATGTACTTATGCTACACAGGGAAAATCACTCTGGAATTGAAATGCTGTTATTTTAAATTACATTTTCCTACTTCTCTTCTGTAAGTCATCTTAATTTCTTTATTTTTAAAAATGGATGCTTTCAAACCAGAGTGTTTTTGTTGTAAATCTGCACTTCCAACCTCCAACAAATAGACGTCAGTTTCTTACATTAATAATCGCTTTGGAACCAGTGGAGTTTTATTCATTTGTTTGCAAGATGTTTCCCTTAAACACTTGAGTAAGTAGTTCGGTTTTCAAAGCTGCATAGATCTTGCAGTATCCCTTACACTTAGGCAGAAGGAATCCCCATCATAGGTAACTATTTAATAAAAATGTGCTCTTCAAAAGCAAAGTTGGAGCATAAGCTGAGATGGAACATGAAAAGTTCTGGCACTGAAGTTGCAAGTTATTCCAGTTAACGTTCTGTAGAGTTTTCTGTTTCCTCATGTTGATACTAAATGTGTTTTCCTTGTGGCAGGAGGTGATGCTTTGCGACTTGACACACTTTTGGAGTGGTGGAGAGAAAAGAATGGCACTTTTTGTTCTCGACTCATCATTGTTCTGGACTGTGAGAACTCTCAGCCTTGGGTTAAAGAAGTAAGAAAAGTAAACGACCAGTACGTCGCAGTGCAAGGAGCAGAGATGGCCAGAGTTGTAGATGTTGAGGAAGCAGACCCTCCACAGCTTGGAGACTTCACCAGGCAATGGGTTGAGTACAACTGTAACCCTGACAGTAACATCAGCTGGTCAGAAAAGGGACGTACAGTGAAAGCGGTGTACGGCGTGTCGAAACGCTGGAGTGACTATACTCTGCACTTGCCAACAGGAAGTGATGTTGCCAAGCACTGGATGATCTATTTCCCACGTGTTACCTATCCATTAGTGCATCTGGCAAACTGGTTTTGCGGTCTCAATATGTTCTGGGTCTGTAAAGCGTGTTTTAGGTGCTTGAAAAGATTGAAAATGAGTTGGTTTCTTCCTACAGTGTTGGACACGGGACAGGGTTTCAAACTCGTCAAATCCTAATTAGGAACCAAAGAGAAAATGAAGTGAGGGCTCTGGGAACTTCCTCACAGGTTTTTTTATATGACTGTTTTCTTTGAATAAATCTGCTGCACTCACTTTGTTCAGCTCTTTGAGCAGCTACAGTATATGCAACAGTTAGAAACTGCAGTCTTAAACAGAAGAGGGTAGGACTATAATATTTGTGTTTTGTTACTGGACTATATGTACATATGTAAGAGACTTCATGAGACCATGCATTTTGGCAACAGTTTGCATGTTCATGTGTGCTACTTAAAGCAGCCTTTGTTCAGAATTACCAGCGTGAAAGACAACAGCTCATATGAATGTTAGAGCATGCTTTTTTGTCATTTATATCACTGTAAGATTCAAGTACAGGAAAGGAAGCAAGCTAATACTTAAAATATATGTCCTTGAAGTTATTTGGTGGGTTCAAGGATATTATAGCACTGAGCCAAAATTAAAAGAGAAGAATGAGAAATCAGTGTAGGTAAGTTGCAAGGGTCTTTAATTTTATTTTGTTACATCTTCAGCTCCCACCTCGTTTTCTGCTGCCATTGGTGGAAATTTGCCACAGGAAGTTGGATAACCTCATGATGTTAGGTGGAATAAAAAGTGCACAGAGAGTTCTTTCTTCACTGGTCAGGGTAATTCTGTGTTTTTCAGGCTCATACTTGGTTCTATTTTTGAAAAACTATTCTGAAGAAAGAAAAACTGGGGAGGAAGCAAAGCCTAAGGAATTTAACCAAGAAAATCATATATAGATAATAAGTGGAAGTACAAGTGCTGCCTTCCTTGCTTCCACATTTATCTGCACCTAAAGCTTCAATGCTGTAAAATGCTGAGTCCAGGATTAGACCAGTGAGCTCACCTCAAAACATATCAGAGTCATGAGCAAGCAGTTTGTCAGTAAGATTATTCCCATAAGCCAGCACTGAACCTTGAATATTCCTTAACTCTGTTTTCCCAGCCACAAGGTGCTGGTCTTAATCCTTCCTGTTGCAGAGTTGGATGGGACTCCAGAAAGCCTGTCCCAGTGCTTTTCAGGGAAGCTGTGTAGCAGTTTTGTTTCGTTTGCATAAGTACAGTAAATCAGGAGTTAAATGAATGAGACACTAAGATAGTAAAATTGGTGCTGTTGCACACGTGTACAATCCAGAAAAGTTCTTTTTTTCCATCAGTATTTTAATAGGACTTTCAGGTGGTAGCTGATATTTATTTAAAGTGTAGCAATCGTATTTTAATTTCAATGCATATTTTTAGAAGCTCTGTAAGTCTTTGTTTTCAAGGGCTTTTCTAATTCCATCTGACCTTCTCAGGCAGAGATTCTGCTAACTTTGATATCTGTTAGTAATTCATGAAAACAAAATGTTATTGAATTATGAGATCTGAAGTGGCCACAGTAATTTGGACCCACTAACTTCCCAGTGGTGATTTTGCAGGATTTACGAGTGGAAGCCACTAAGTTTCTTCATTGATGAGTATTGCACAACTTTATTTAGCAAGAAATTGCTCCTTCCCTCCCCCCTCCTTCCCCCCCCCTTTTGCTGCCTCATCATCAAAGAAGTGGGAAGTAGATAAAGGAATGAGATGTGAAATTTGACATCCTACCAAGGGTCGGTTCCACTTGACCCTTCTTTAAGTAAGAGCCACTGGTACTCTGTCACCCAGAGGAGTGAACAGAGAGTAATGGCACCATCTCACTTCAGATATTGTATTTAAGTTCCTAAAATGGGGTTGGTACCATCTTTTAACTTGCCTGAAAATCAGACTGAATTTGTGCTAGCAACCTGCACTGCTCCATTGCTCATTAACAAGGAGGAATAAATGTTCCTGGAGGAAGACTCATTTGACCTGTTTTAGAATGAAGCAAATTTTCCACTGGTTGTGCCTAATAGTTTTATCTTGTTTTTACTTTCACATGCCAAAGGTCAAGCAGACAAATCCCTTACTTCTGTTAAATAACTTTAGAGCGCTTCTGTTGCGAGTCATCCTCAGGAGCCTCTCTGGGTACTTAAGCTCCTCACTCATGCACCTAACTTGGATTCTTACAGTTAGGCTAAACAGGATCCGTCAAGGACCAGCAAAGAAGCACTACCTCTTCTGCAGAAGCCTTTCTCAGCCATACCTTTGAGTGTGGAGATAAGAAGTTTGCAATAAGGCAACTATTTGGCTTGTAAACTATCATTTCACTACTGTTGATCTGATTGCATCACACACTGTTCAAAGTGGAGCACTAATTAAGATGAATTTTTAACAAAGTTCATTTAAAGCAATATTGTAATAGTTGATAGTTAGCCTGTAAACTTCTGAAAATCGAGAAGTTAGTCCTTTTTATTTTGGAAAAGTTTTGAACATCACCACTTTTAATTACAATGGGTGCATCTTATTTTGTTTGTACCACTGTTACGTCATTGTGACTGTCAGTCTGTATCTTTCTACAAGAGGAACAGGGAAGCTTTGGATTTCGAACCTCTCCTGAATCTATGAGCAGCCTAATGTGAAAGATGCGTTCTGCAGTGCAGTGGCACAGCTGTTTTTGTACAGAACAAAGAACGTTTGGTGCTGATCTCTTGCCTCAGTTTGTTAAATGGTTTCCAGGATATTTATCAGGCTTGGATTTCCTATAGGACAGACTGGGTGGTTGTTAGCAGTTTGAATAGTAAATGAGTCGACTCTTCAGTCTGCTGAAAAGTTATTCACAAAACTAATCATGCATTATCAGATTTGTTTCTCAAAGAACTCTAGTTTTCTGAATTTCTAACAGTTTTAACATTAAGGTATTCCTACTTTTGACTATTTTTTTTTTAACAGCAAAGGCATGGTGAAAAATGCCATTATGTTTACAACCATTTAAGACTGTGAGGCCTTTTATTGGACAAAGAGACTGTATTTTGTGATTCAAAAGCCGGAGTGCAGGATGATGAGCCTCAGGAACTCAGCAGTATTAATTCACCACCTGTACACCACAGCCTGTATTCCCAGGCGAGGACCAGGTGTGGGCAGAACTCTGTGCAGCTGCCCTCTGCTGATGCCCATCGCTGCTCTCTGCACCTTGAGAACACACCAGCAGCTCCACGTGGTGGTGGGAATCACCTCTGCTGTGCCCTGTGTGCAATGCAGAGGAATTTAAACCCAATTCCAAAGAATGTTACATATGTTGGCGTTTGCATGCAGGTTGTTTTTATTTGGGGGTAACATGCTTAAGAATTTATTGTGTGGGTTCAGAAAGTTAGGTCGTGGTCTAAACTTTGTTGGGTTTTGTGAGATGTTTGTCTGTACCAATATTCAGAAATTTTGTTATAAAGGTTGCTGTAAGTTTGTATCACAGCAGTAATTTTATGTTGACTTCATTTCATTTACCTCCTGTACAGGATCTTTGCTGAAATACAGAAATGCACTAAGTCCTACAAACATAAATCTTTAAGAGAGTTCAGACTGGAACTTCACAATGTTTTTCTCTGAACAAATATGGAGGTAAAGCCATCTTCTGAATATTTGCACTACCAGAGTTAAGTATTTGCAGTTCATTGTGCTTTTTATGCCTCATGGTTGTCGTTGTCTGGCCTTTCCTAGAAATAATAATTTCATCAGTTTCAGTAAGTTTTCCCATTATTTTGCTAAGACCTAATTAATGCTATGCTAGCTGTAAGCATCTCTGTCACCAGCAGTGGACGATGTAACTGGGTTAAATTTCTTGTTTCTAAATACTTTTCTGTGGGAGGATTTTTACTGGACATACTGATTTTGCATCTGTAAATAGATTTTGTGCGTGTGTGTATTTGTGATATTACTTAAATATATTTTGCTGGTTTGGATGCTCATTTCCATTTTGTGCTTCTTTTATCACTTCCAAAACTTTCCAAAATCTGTGTGCCCTCTCGAGTTACATCTGGGGTCTGTGTGTGTACAGCTTGTTTCGATGTATTTTCTCAGTTAGAAGATACAGCAGCGATTTCTAAAAATACTCCAAGGATTATCTGTAGTTTAACAGTTTAATAGGAAGGATAAATGTTTGCTTAAATTATTAACACACCTTTTGCCTCATCCTTTTCAGTAACATCTGACTCTAAAGGTAATGAAGGTTCCTGTCTGAACTAGATGAAGCCTGGATTTACAAAGCAGAGAGAAACTGTGATAATGTATAATGCTGAAGAGGTCAAATCTGCACATTTATTCCTCTCAAAAGCTGCTGGGGAGGTTCTTATGCTCCCTCCTCTTGAAGCAGCCTGGGAGACTGGAGCAGCCTGCAGTGCCTTAAGACGTTGGCCAGCTCAGGACAGTCAGAATTTGACTTCTAACTTATGACTCAATCCATTACTTTTGCAATATGTTCATCAGTGTAACGTAGATCATGTCTGTTAAGTCTTAAATTCAGAGGCAGCCCTGGAGAGCACCACACTTTTACCCCAGTGCTGCTCAGCAGCTATTCTAACTGTCTTTGAATGGAGTTGAGCATCTATGGCACAGGCTTTGGAATTTTTGTTTCGTTTGAATTTTTTTTTTTTGGCCCGAAGATGAGTCTATTGGATTCAGTCAGTATGAATGTTCACAAAATATTTCTTCTTACGTGCTGTTATATGCTTGTGCTGGAAAATAAGTATAACCTAAGCATACTTACTGAAGAGATTTTCCTTAAGCCATTACTCTGCTGTAGTTTAAAACACTTTCAGTTCAAGGCCAGCATGAGCACAGCTCCTCACGCAGCCAGGTGCACACCTCAGGCGTTGGGAAGGGTTGGCACACTGTTGAGGCCCAAGCAGAAAGCTACTCCAAATCAATGCATGCAGCTGCTTACAACCATTGGCACGGAAAAATTAAAATTTCAATCCTCATTAACTACTGATTATCTTCTCCACAACAGTAGTAGCACCACCTCAAGGTGCACTGAAACGCTTTGGATTCTTACTTCAGACACCACTCAGCTGAGCTAGGGACCTGCCAGTGCTGACTGATGCCTGTGCTGATGCTGGCAGAGAAATGCATCAAGCTCTGTTGATGACAGGGTGTTTGATAGTAAGAACTGCTAACAAAGCCATCCCACAAACAAGGCCAGGATGCTGGAAGACAATCTGTCAGCCTGCGGCATGGACTGTGGGCATCCTTTGCAAATTGAGGAGAGCTGCCTGGTGGAGATTGGCAACAGCCAGAAAAGAAGTCGAAACTTTTTGGAAAAAAAAGTTTGCATTATGAATTGTGCATGAGGTCCCTTGGTACCACGGTACCGAGTGCATTATAAATGCATAAGAGATCCATTAAGACAGATTGGGGGTGAGGAAAAAAAATTAGGTTTATATAGCTGAAGCTCTGCCTTGTGAGAGAGTATAAACACTTTATCCTCAGAGAAAGGTTACTTGTTTTCCAGGAAGGAAAAGATCAAAAACAAAACAAAAGCCTGGAGGAAGAGCAATGCCAGGCCCAACCCGAGGCTGTGGCCAGGAGTTGGCCCAGCCCCACCTGAAATACTGTCAGCATGGCCAAAGTTCACTGTAATATGCGCTATTTAGAGATGATCCAGGGTTCAATAAATAAGCACAAATTAAATAGCAAGATTAGTGCTTTTCTGAAATTCATTGCTGGACAGTAGGTGCCCTGTGGCTGTTCTGTGGAAAAAAAAAAATTAAAAATGGTGGCAACTGGGAGATTGCTGTACAATTGCATGGTAAAGTGTTAAAGTATTGCCCCAAAAAGTTCATGGCTATCACTCTTCATTACCAAGAAGAGAGGTGCTGGTCATTGCTTGGTGCTAGATAATAATTTGCAGCTGGGTTTGCGTTGCCATCATCCATTTTCAAATTCTTTCCTCCTCACTGAATAACCTTAACAGAAGGTTATGCCACGAGCTCTGCCAGGACCTGTTGCAGATGCTGGCATGAAGTAAGGAGATACAGAGGCCCTTTGGGCTACAACCCTCCTGGCTTGTTCTCCCAGCTTTAGGCCCTCAGCAGCCCCGCATGGCGCTAGGTGGGCTCTCCTGCAGGCCTGGCACAGCTGCTCTCAATTTAGGTTCCCCCATAAAGGCTGGCAGCCCTCTTCCAAACCAGGGCACCATGTGCCCATGGCTGTGGAGCGTGAGGGCCGTGCCAGCCATCTTGCCTGTTTAAGAACTGTCTGTAACATCCAGCCAGGCACTGTGAATTGGGTTTCAGTTGTGGGTCCATGTTAGAATTTACTACAGTCCCTGGGTGATCCCCAGTGCTCACAAGTGTGTCAGTATGCTGGCTCAGCCTCCAACGTCAAAGCTGAAATAAATACCCCAAAGAGCACTCTGGCAAAGGGACTTATTCCAAGTTCATTGTCTCTTGCTTTCTGGTTACAGTCACCATTCCTTAAATTTCCAGAGATCTAGGATGGTTTCTGATATGTTAGTTACAGTTTTGATGTCTTTCGAATTTATGAGGCACTCAGCTTTGGAGCTCAGAAAAGAAATAAGTCAGAACCAGTCACAAAGCTGTCACTTCACAACTCATTCCAGCTCATCCATCTTTCACTTTTCATTTGTTTCTCTGCCTGTCATCTCTGTGGCAGGGATTCTTGATCTGAGTTCTTGGCTCAGCTACAGCTCCTCTTTCACTGCACTGGACTCACCCCAAGCCCACTCCATGGTAGGGTGATGGGCCGGGGTACAACACCAAGCTGACAGCTGCAGCTGGGAGCACCTCAGTGCCCATGGTGAGAATGCAGTCCTCCATGTCAGCACAGATTTGCACAGCCCTGCTGCTGTTTCTGCCAAACAATCCATGTGTCCTACAGCTCTGCCTATTGGCTTTTTACCAAAAACCCGTGCCAAAGGGCAGCTGTAACATACTTTAGAAATCAGGATTTTAGAAGAAAGGTAGCAGGCCGCAGCTAGCACTTCACCCAACATCGTTCTGCCATCTAAGCAGGTCTCCAGGCCCAGCTTTAAGCCTTCTGTTAGGCTTTCCTCCATGCACAGGAAAAGCACCTGCCATGGCCAGCTGCCTGCCAGCCACAGATGCGTTGTGCAGCCAGCCTGGGCTCTGCTTACTGCAGCCCTGCCCCTGTGAACAAGGGGCTGGGCCAAGGCCTCCCCTGCTCCCACCACTTCCTGCTGTGCAGGAGGGTTTGGTGGTGCCCCCGATTCTGAGTTTCCAGCCCCAGAAGAAAGCAAGGTTCCTCGGCAGGGCTTGCAGTCCAGGCATAGCATCAGTCATGAAGCATGAGGAAGGTCTGACAGCCCAGGCACAGGCAGGCGGGCGGCTTCAGGCTGGTACTGTGAAGTTTGTCTGGTGCTGAATGTCCAAGTTAACCTGTGCAGTCTCGCTCGACCATTAAAATAGTATTAAAAATAGTATTAAAATAGTATTTCTAAAACATACCGAGGGAAGGTGGAGGAGACAAGAAGAACAGTGGGACTGATAGCCATGAGGCAGCTGATGGATGCAGGGTAGCAGTCAGAGCAGGTTGCTGTGAGCAGGCGCAGTGCCTACTTCACGGATACAGTTCTGGTGCTTACACCTCACCTTTCCAGAGATCCGAACTCTGCTGGGTCTGCATTTGACAAAGGAATTTCTGTCCCCCTTCTGTTCTGCTGCTGTGTGTGGCTGAGAGCCCTCTGTGCAAGTCTGCCAATGAACCACCCTGCTCAGCCTTACGAGCACCCCTCAGGGTCTAAGCCTTTTCCTCCTTGCTGAGCTTGTGAGTAGGATTAGACAAGATCTCCAAACACATGCCCTCTGGTAAGAGAGGAAAGGTGTTTCTACCCAACTACATAACTGGTTCAAGTGCTCACTAAAGACAGCGGAAGTCTGTCTTCGGCTGTGGCACTCCAGTTCTTTCAGCACAGTGTAAAGCTGTTTGGGTTTTGCCTTCCCCACTCAGGAAAACGTGCTATTCTGGAGTACAGCACGGCATCCTCTGAGCCAGCCCATCCTACCATGACAAGATGAAACATGGAGCAGCACAGCAGGACAAGTGCTCCACTAAGCACTGTTATGACACCTGGAGGGGACATTCTCGCTGAGTGAGTAGCAGGAAGCAAACTGTCACCTCCCATGCCACGGCCAATAGCTCTAAATGCCAAGACTGGGTCAGAAGGAAAAGGCCTGCCTCCTTTCCCGGCACTTGCTGACGCGTTAGGGCAAGGGGTTTTCAGGTTACAGAAGCAACTTGCCCCTGTGTATAACAAATCCCATCCTGTGCGCAGGAAAACAGCAGTGAGTGTTTACTTATCACCCTTCATTCAGGAAACTGTGCATGAATGCAAGCACAGGAAGCTGCGTTTTAAATGTCAAAGTATGCTGTAAAAGCTTTGTGTCAATTGCACTTCTTCAAAACAGAAAAATACCAACAGCTTTGAGAATAGCACAACATAAGAAGAAATTAAATTAGTTTCGTTTTCTTGTTACGAGTGGGGTTTTTTTTCCCTGCTTAGTTTTTCCTTTCATTAAGGACAGCATTGTGAGGTCAAGCACCAAAGAACTGATACAGTAACATATTTTTCACCAGGGAATTTTGCACATCAGGAGGAGCTCATGATTTAATTGTAAATTGGCATTTGCATATTCATTTAGTCAAATCCATTTCCCCTCGTGATTAGAAATGCCATATGACTGATATTCTTCTTCCCTGTAGTTTGACACAGCATTGACTCACAGCTTGGCTTCATGAGGATGCTCGTGAATGCTAAGGCACAGCACATGCAGGAAAGCATGCTTCATTCCTGTATGCTCAAGCTGGAGTAAAATAGCTGCAGTGCTCCATAACCTGGCTTTCTTCAGGTGACTGGATGCTGTCTTTGATCTGAGAAAGCAATAATCACAAGGAAATATCAAAGAAACTCCACTTGTAAATTTGTGAGTTT